GAGCGGCCTCTCTCACACACGTCGGCGTGCGTGTGTACAGCGAGCCAACGTTCTGGCGTCACACCCACCCCTCCCCTTCCCCTGCTCCTCCTCCTCTACGCTCGCTACCGCGACTGCTTTAATTGCCCCCAGCGCGGCACGGCGCGATGCGGCGAGAGAGAGAGAGAGGGAGAAAGAGAGCGCGCGAGGGAGGGGGAGAGAGAGGGGGAAGGGAACGAGGGTGCGTGGGAAGAAGGATGGGGAGCAGGCCATCACTGAGGCACGATCTCTCGGCAGACACACGCACACACGCACACACACACACACACACACCAGTCAATCCCGCCCCAGGCTATGTAACCAACCGACCCATCCACCCACCAGCGCGAGCGCTGCCCACCCACCAGCCCACCCACCAGCGACAATAAACGCAGGTCTTACCACGCCGACAAGTACGGCTGCTGTATCCACGGCTTTACCCGTACGGCCGCTCCTATGATGACAGACGGTTGTTGCCGCTAGCCACTGCTCCCGCTGTCTGCTTCTCCTACTCACACACAGTAATGCAGCTAAATATACGACACAGCTCGAATTGCCGACCTCCATGGAACACGTTACATATTCACACGCACGCGGCGAAACATCCTTGCATCTGTCGATGGGATCCAGAGTCAGAGATAGTACACGCACACTCACGCACGCACGTACGGTAGCGAGAGAGACAAAGAGAAGCAGTGAGTGGACAGTGTGTGTGTGAGAGAGACGCGTGAGGAGCGTACGTCATTGACACGCCTGCTTGCCACCTCTGCTGCTGCTGCCAGCCAGATCTCGCTAGACGCTCGCGGGAGAGAGAGAGAGCGAGAGAGAGAGAGAGAGAGAGAGACGGGCTCTCCGTAGATTATCTACACGACTAATGCTCGCCTCACCGACACACTGGCGGCGAGCGACTCCCGCTAGGCGGCCGCTGATTGGCTGAGCCGTGCCGTGATGTGAGAACGTACAGACGAACAAAGAGGCACGGCGCTCGTCTGCTAGCGGCAGTCGCTGCCGTGCAGAGAGAGATGGAGGGCTGCTGCTGCTGCTGCTGCTGCTGCTGCTGCTGCTGCTGCTGCTGCTGCTGCTGCTGCTGCTGCTGCTGCTGCTGCTGCTGCTGCTGCTGCTGCTGCTGGCCTGCGCCGAGAGGCGAGAGCTACTGCGTGGTGGTGACTTATTAATGTAATAATCTCACCACGGCGGCTGACGGCGTGTAACGTGCGTAGTGTACATTGCGTGGCGTGTAACATGGGCGTGCGCGCGTGTACATGCGTGCCGTGGTAACGATGCGTGGCAGCGGGTGTACTGCGTGTGTACATGCGACGTGCGTGTGTACGTGTCGTACATGCGATGGCGTACTGCGTACGCGGTGTACGTGCGTGCGATGTGTACAGTGCGATGGCGTACGCCGGTACATGCGTGCGATGTGTACGTGCGTGCGCGTGGTACGTGCGTGCGTGTGGTACATTGCGTGCGTGTGTACGTGCGTGCGTGTGAAGTGCGTCGTGGCGCGTCGTACGGGGCGTGAGTTGGCGTGCGTGTGTAGCTGGCAGGCTGGTCGGTCCACATACATACCCGCAGCGAAACGATGCTGCTTAGGCGAATTCTTGTGCCCACTGCGTCTCTATTGTGAGACTCACAAACAGATCAAGGCCGGACTATGGCCAGCCAAGCGCCGTCTGCCATCACAACAAGCAGGTCGTCTCTAATCAGCTCGCGATATCCTAATTGCCCAGCGTCGAACGCCTAATGCTTATTATTGGAGGGAGGAGGGGCCACGTTCGCGCGACCTTCTGGAAAAAATGCCGTAATGAATTAAACCGCTAAATGGATGGATGCATGGGCGAATCTATCCCCGCGTCGATGCATGCGGCCGACGGCAGCTTTTCGGCGACCTCAACCCTCGCATCGTCACTCGCCGTCCGCCCGATTGTGCGCGCGTGCCGGGAGCAGCTCGGCCGGGGTGCGGACAGGTGAGGAGCAGCACGCAGCGTAGAGGTGTGTCGCACCTGTTCTTACATTCCGCCTGACGCCGCAAGCCGCTCCGCCGTTACCCAATGGTGATCAGCTAGCAGCGGGTCTGAAACACGGCGCTCAGACATTCTATCTTTTTTCTTCAAAATATAACGAAGTAATTCAACGCGGCCAGTGCGTGCGCGCGCCAAACGTCCCACAGCACTCCCTGACGCAACGGACGTGAGGGAATTGTTTGGAGAGGGCCGAGAGAATGCATTAGGAATGGGAGCGACAGAGAGCAATATGAACGTGCGTGCCGTGCGTGTAAATGTGTGTGTCGGGTGCGTCGTGGTATGTGTGTGGGTTGGGTGGCAGGTTCGTAGCGTGTATTGTGTGGTGCGTGTTAGGTGTAATGTGGTGCGGGTGCGTGCGTGTATGTGTGGGGTGGGGTGCGTTGCGTGTAGGTGTCAAATGTACGTGCGTGTGCGTGTTGGATGGATAAAGTGGATGGATGGGATGGATGTAAGGATATATTGGACTGGATGGAAAGGGTGGATTGGATTGATTGATAGAGATAGCGGGAGAGAGAGAAAGAGGTATGATCGAATGCATATATACAGATAGCGAGGAGAAACATGAGAGAGAGAGAGAATGTGGTGGGTGTGTGGGTGGGTGTATGTGGTGTGAGAGAGAGAGAGAGAGATAATGTGGGTGTGGGTGTGAAGAGAAAGAGAGAGAGAATGTGGGTAGGTGTGTGTGTGGAGAGAGAAGAGAGAGAGAGAGAGAGAGAGAGAGAGAGAGAGAGAGAGAGAGAGAGAGAGAATGTGGGTGGGTGTGTGTGTGTGTGTGAGAGAGAGGGAAAGACAGAGTATGTGAGAGTGGGAGAAGATAGTGATGGGTAGAAGAAAGAGTCAGGCGCCGACACAACGAACAAGAAGAGAGATAGCTACTGTCAACGACCAAGCTTCACCGACATCTTAATCACTGACGTGTAAACAACAAATCACGTTAATGGACAAACGAGATGCCGCCGCCGCCGCAGTAAGCGTTGTCGGCCAGCCTAGTAATAACCTATACACGGTAATATACACGGTAACTCACACACCAATGTACTTTGATCACCAGCGCTACCGTATCTCGCACACGCTTAGTGTTTGGTCTTTAGTGCGCTAAGACTACGGTTGGTTTGGTTGAAGTTTAAAGAAGCAGATAGTGGTAACTGTAAAAGATTTGGGTGAAGATTAAGAACGCAGCTACTGACAACTGTCAGACATTTTCTTCGCCGTGTGTTTCGTGCGTGTGTTGTCGAGCAGTGCTTACCTCTATCCGTGTGCCCGGGTTGCCACGGCGACCCTCACAGCTTCCCAGAAGACCGCCACCTAGTCATCTAGTGATCGGTGAAAACTGTAAACATCAAAATAAGACGAAGACCCAGTTAGTAAGCAGCCTTCGCGTCGATAAACCTTCCTATACGTATTGAGAGCGACTAAAGCGAAGTTACACCCTTGAGCTTGAATCGCAAATGCTCTAAGAACGGGTTGTCAGGGCATTGAGATTACTATTATGACGGGGGCCAATAAAGCAAACGGAGGCGGAATGCTCGGCGAAGGCAGGTGGTTAAGATGGAGGATAAACAACGATCGATGGCTTCGGGGTTGAATTCTTATACAGCAGGGTATCATATTAGCTGTCGATATTATACGGCTTGGATGAATCCTAGATTATAGTGTTCGTCTGTATTACAAATTGTACAGTGGATGTTATAGGGCACGACGTCAAGCATGCGTGCCTGTTGCCATTCTCTGACAATCACTAGAGCTTTTGCAATCGTAAACACGTTCTTAAACACGTTCCTTCTTTTCTTCCTACATTACTAAACTAAACAAGAGCCGCAGAGCGTCTGGGCTCATCTGAGGTCTGTTGCTACGGAGCAAAGAAGTAACTCTAACGTAACATTTAAGTCGTGCGTAGTGACACCTTTGTTAAGCGCAGATATCCAGATACGCAGTTGCGTACACATCATTTCAGCAACCTTCTGCATTCTGTATACCTCCCTAATCCCATTGGTTGATACAAATCGCGTGCCTGAAACTCCTGTTTTATGGTGCATTGTGACCTTAGCCCTATTGACCCACTCTGACCCTATTAAAAAAATTAAAAAATTAAATTGTTGTAAAAATTATTTGTTGTTATTAAATTGTTGTAAA